TATTCCATTGTATACATAAACCACATCTTCTTTATCCATTCATCTTTCGATGGGCACCGAGGCTCCTTCCACAGTTTGGCTATTGTGGACATGGCTGCTAGAAACATCGGGGTGCAGGTGCCCCGGCGTTTCATTGCATCTGAATCTTCGGGGTAAATCCCTAACAGTGCAATTGCTGGGTCGTAGGGCAGGTCTATTTTTAATTCTTTGAGGAACCTCCACACAGTTTTCCAGAGTGGCTGCACCAGTTCACATTCCCACCAACAGTGTAAGAGGGTTCCCTTTTCTCCACATCCTCTCCAACATTTGTGGTTTCCTGCCTTGTTAATTTTCCCCATTCTCACTAGTGTGAGGTGGTATCTCATTGTGGTTTTGATTTGTATTTCCCTGATGGCAAGTGATGCAGAGCATTTTCTCATGTGCATGTTGGCCATGTCTATGTCTTCCTCTGTGAGATTTCTCTTCATGTCTTTTGCCCATTTCATGATTGGATTGTTTGTTTCTTTGGTGTTGAGTTTAATAAGTTCTTTATAGATTTTGGAAACTAGCCCTTTATCTGATATATCCACGAAAACAAAAGAAACAAAAGCAAAAATGAACTATTGGGACTTCATCAAGATAAGAAGCTTTTGCACAGCAAAGGATACAGTCAACAAAACTCAAAGACAACCTACAGAATGGGAGAAGATATTTGCAAATAAATAAAATCTTAAAAAAAAAAAAAAAACAGTGTCGGGCAGCCCCCGTGGCGCAGCGGTTTAGCGCCGCCTGCAGCCCAGGGCGTGATCCTGGAGACCCTGGATCAAGTCTCACGTCAGGCTCCCGGCATGGAGCCTGCTTCTCCCTCTGCCTGTGTCTCTGCCTCTCTCTGTGTGTGTCTCTATGAATAAATAAATAAAATCTTTAAAAAAAAACAAAAAACAGTGTCATTTTGGATAATGGAACATTGGATGGGGAGAAAGGGGCAGCAGAGACCCTTTTAGCACCCCTCAGTCATACAGTATAAGTGTCTAACACTTCATATCCTCAAAAGCCACATGCACAGTGAAGAGAAAGGGAGCTTCATTGCTACCACACCATTCTTACCCTGCCTGTATATCCTAACAGTTGGGGGTACTTTATTTTTTTTAAGATTTTATTTATTTATTTATTTGACAGATACAGAGTGCACAAGCAGGGAGCAGCAGGCAGAGACAGAGGGCTGAGCAGGGAGCCTGACCAGGGCTTGGTCCAGGACCCCAAGATCATGACCTGAGCTGAAGGCAGACGCTTAACTAACTGAGCCATCCAGGCACCCCTTGGAAGTGCTTTAAAAACACTGCTGCCTGTGTCCCACCCCAAGAGATTCTAATTTAATTGGTCTTGTGTGCAGCCTGGGCAGCCAGATTTTTTGGAAGTACCCCCTCCCAGGTGATTTTATTGGTAGCCGGAATCTACAACTACTGTGTTACAGTGTGAAGAGTCCTTTGCTTGCTGACAGATGGCATCCTGTGAGAGGATCCCACTAGCAATCTATTGATGTAATATTAGGGTTTGATGGAGTTTTCCTCTTTCAAAAATCATCTTTGGAAGAAAAAAAACAGGTGAGGGCCAGAAATGATGATCAATACTCATCAAGTTGAATTCTGATACTAAACCTTCTTCTGATTGAACCTCAACAAATACTAGTAATATTAGCTTTTGTTCTTCAGCATTAGTTATTAATCTCCAGATAATACCTAAGGCTAGAGTATTGCTGTTGCCTGGGACTGAAGGGATTCCCAGTAAGTGGAATTTCAGTTTTCAATATGAGCGTTCTGGGGAAACTGCGATGAGCAGGTCACTTTAGGTACATAAGAGAAGAGGGTATAAACCATATAATTATTTGCACTCATACCCTGAGGAAAACAAATTGGGAAAATGTTCAATATGGAAGTCAGGCTTTTTGCAAAAATCTACCTCTTTTAGGGATAATTGCAGTTATTCTGTTTTATTTTGCTGGTACAGTCCTCCAAAGAAGTTCACTATAACCATTGTAACAAAAATAGCAAATACAAAACAAAGCAACAAACTAAAGAAACCCACCAAAGCTCCATAGTCACCAAGGACTTTTTAACCTGTATTTGTGTACCTTGGGAGTTTGGCTCCTGCCTAGTGATTGTCGAGAGGCACTTGGGCAGTTGGTGTGATGGATGGTGTCAGCACAGAAGTCCTATTGTGATATAAAGCCCAGAAAGAATCCATCTCATCATGGGGACGTTGTGTGGAAATAGAGAATGGATCCATAACTGGCCATCACACAAAAGCTTTTCAGTTGGAAGGTACCCATGAGTGGTAAAACATGTCATGTTGGTATGTCCACATCTGATGCGCCTGACTCAAATCTGTTTTCTATAGGACAAAGCTATTCTGTTATTCTTGGATGGAAAAGGTTTAGAGTTGACAGATGGATCCTACATAAACTTAGGAGGTATGCAGATTTTAGGGTACTAACAAAGGCATTTTTAGGACAAATTACTCATAATAGTTATATGGGTTTTATGGTAGTTTGTGTGTTTTGAATACAAAGTGGCAATGTATATAGTGATTTAAAGTTGATTTGGGGGGATCCCCGGGTAGCTCAGCCGTTTAGCACCTGCCTTTGGCCCAGGGTGTGATCCTGGAGTCCCGGGTTCGAGTCCCACATCGGGCTCCCTGCATGGGGCCTGCTTCTCCCTCTGCCTGTGTCTTTGCCTCTCTCTTTCTCTCTGTGTCTCTCATGAATGAATAAATAAAATCTTTTTTAAAAATTTGACTTTGGAATCAGGCAGATGGGTTCAAAATCTGGTTCTTCTTCAGACCTTGTCATGTGACCCTGGGCAAGTTATTTAACCTCCCCAATTTTCCATTTCCTTATATTTATAGTAGAGAGACTTATACCTATCGTTTTGTGTAATTCACACAACAATCCAGCAAGGGAGGTATAGTTCTCCCTAATGTCAATGGGTTTCTCCACCTTGACACTGTTGACATTTCGGGTGGCATAATACTTTATTGTGGGAGCCTGTCCTGTGCACTGTAGGATTATGTAGCAACATCACGGGCCTCTATCCACAACTACCCCCTCCAAATTGTGACAATCAAAAATATCTTCAGACATTGCCAAAAGTCCCCAGGGCGAGGGGTGCTGGTGGTGGTGGTGGTGGTAGTAGGAATACATGCCCTGGTGGGAATCTACTGAGTATAAAGTGGAACAAGTGTCAGACCTGGCATAAGTAGGCACTCATTAAGTGATATCTATTATGATCATTAATACTATATCAAAATTAGAACTTTTATTATTGATGCCAAACCTTAAAGCTATGTCAGTATATTTAATTATATCTAAGAATAACCTCTCAGACTTCTTCTTTTAAAAAAAAAGATTTATTTATTTATTTTGACATAGAGAGAAAGAGAGAGAGAGAGAGCAGGGGAAGGGGCAGAGGGAGAGAATCTTCAAGCAGACTCCCTGCTTAGCATGGATCCCGACACAGGGCTTGATCTCAGGACCCTGAGGTCATGATCTGAGCTGAAACCAAGAGCTGGACACTTAACAATTGAGCCCCCCCAGGCACTCCAGACTTAGTCTTTTAGACTGTGTAAACCAGTCTTATTATGCTAAGAGGATCATGAGAAAATATTACTTTTCTACCTCATATCTCCAGCATCTTCTAGTCCTGCAACTCTAAGATGTTTTAGATTTACTGATGTGTTGTACAACCACTTAAATATCCACAAATACTACTTAAAAGTAGCTCACTTGTAAGTGAATAATTGTCAGGAATGGTGACATTTGCAACTTTGAGGCATTTAAGGCACAACTCTTTCTTCCATCTAATTTGTTTTCCCTTTCCTCACATGCACGCTCTGCAGAAACCTCAACTCCTACTTCACTAATAAGTTTTGGCCATCCAGTGCAAGCTTCCTCTGCTACCAATAGCCCATCTCCCACTCTTTGTCCTATCATTCTTGTTCTTATTAAAGGAAGAAGAGTCTGGGACACCTGGGTGGCTTAGTGGTTGAGCGTCTGCTTTTGGCTCAGAGCATGATCCCAGGGTCCTGGGATCGAGTCCTGCTTTGGGCTCCCTGCAAGGAGCCTGCTTCTCCCTCTGTCTATGTCTCTGCCACTCTCTCTTTGTCTCATGAATAAATTAAAAATATAAAAAAATAATGAAATAAAAATAAAAGAAGAAGAGTCTCCTCGATGAGTCTTCACTCTTGTGCTACCCTGTTTCTGGAAAGACCTTGCAGTAGCATTTATGGCTTCCTTAGTCACATCTGCACTGTATTCCTCTCTGTTGGCTCCCCCCCCCCCATCAATCATCCAATGAGATAGGCTTCCTCCATTAGAAAAGCCCTTTGCTACTGACTTCTGAAATTGCAGTCTTATTTCTTTGCTGGGACACACATGCTTCCTTCCCAGGTTTTTTTTTTTTTTTTTTGATGTTTTGTTTTGTTTTTGTCAAATCTCCTTTGTTTGATCAGCCCTTAAATGTTTGTATTGTTCAGTGTTCTGTCTTCAGATCTCTCATCTCACACTACACCAACTTACTTTACTCTCACCTAGGGATATCTCATTTTCTCTCAAGGATTCAATTACCAACTACTTGCTATTGTCCCCCAAATCTCTAACTCTGAACTAAATCTCCCTCCTGAACTTGAGATACAGTTAGCCAATTGCCTACCACATACCACCACTACGATGTCCAGTGGGCACCTTAAAATCAATATGTTCAGGAGCACTTGGGTGGCTTAGTGGTTGAGCATCTGCCTCCGGCTCAGGAAATGACCCCGGGATCAAGTTCCACATCGGGTTCCCTGCGAAGAGCCTGCTTCTCCCTCTGCCTATGTCTCTGCCTCTCTCACTCTGTCTCTCATGAATGAATAAATAAAATCTTAAAATAAAATAAATAAAATAAAATAAAATAAACATGTTCAAAATGGAACTTATCATATTATATTCTCAAAACTACTCCTCATCCAGTGTATTTTATTTTCCATTTGAAAGTAGTCATTTATTAACTGACCAGATTACAAAAATAATCATGGTAGATACCTTAGTTCATCCTTCTAATAAGCCTATTGATCTGGTCTTCCCTGTTGCCAGCATCTCCACCTTCTACAAAATGGGTGGTCTTTTTCTTCATTCCGCTGCGTGGAGAAGATAATTTGAAGGGCCATAAAAAGTTGTTGGCTTCTTTGAAACGTTTTCCAACAATATAGATCTCATGAATCAGATCCTCCATGCAGATGATGCCATATTTACCAAGAGACCGAGCAATCAATGTCAGGGCAATTCGCTTCTTGTTGATCTTGCCATAACCACGCTTGTAGATCAATTCATTCACTGACTTCAGGTTTGGGTACCCCCATGCTGTATATGGTTCCACAATTCTTAGCATGTTAACTGAAGCCTTGTTGAGCTTAACAAAGGTGCCATTGAAGATCTGGCGAAGGCGAAGAAGCTGCAACACCTTTCGAACCTTTGGGCTCACACCATTGATACCTCTGATCCTGATGACAAATGCCAACTTGGGTTCTGCAGGCACGTAGGAGTTGCCGGCTTTTCTCGCCATCCTCGCCATGCGAATCTCAGTTCTGTACATCTGCCTGTATTCCTTGTGGTAATGCTTAGCCTTTTCATAGATAAGCTTCCTCCTTGCCTTTCGAAGCATCTTTTGGGCAAACTTTTTTCTCAGACGCTTGATCTTCAACTCCATGAAGTTCCTTTGCTTTTTCTTAAGGGTTTCCGGCACAGCAGGAACCTTCTTCTTCTTCTCTTCTGCACCCTCCATGGTTCCAGCCAGAAAAAGAGGAAGTTCCAGTGTATTTTATATCAGCATCCATCCACTCAGTTGTCCTGGCCAAAAATATTGGCGTCATTCTTGGTTCTTCTCTTTCCCAAAATCTCCCACACCAACTAGTCAGCAAGAACTGTCAGTGCTACTTTCGACATATTTATTGAGTCCACCCACTCCTCTCCGTTCCTATTAACACCATCATCTCTCTCTTAAACTGCCCAAATAGCCTCATTATTGGTCAACCTGACCTTAATCTTGCCCCAGTGTACATGCAGTCAGAGAGATCTTTTTTTTTCTTCAGAGGGATCTTTCTGAAGCAAAATTGATTGTATCATTCTCCTGCTAAAACCCTTCTGCAGTTTCCCAATACCAATCTGGATTAAATTCAAAGTCTTTGATGCGGCTTTATAACATTCTTGCGGCTCTATAACATTCTTCATCAGCTGACCCCTGCTGACCTCTTCAACAATCTCTCTACAAAATCTCTATTTCTTTCAGTTGTGTGGTCATACTTCCTTTTCTCTCTGGATCACCACATTGGGTATTTCCCGCTCAGGTCGCCCCTTGCCTCTCATTTAGCTAATTCCAACTCATCCTATAGGTCCTGGTTTAAATGTTACTTCCTCCAAAGAACCTTCCAGATCATTCCAATCTGGGATAGGTGGCACACCTTATGTGCTACATTAGTATCCTATGTCTCTCTATGTTGCACTTAATAGTTTGTCTTGTAATTGACAGTTTACTAGTCTTTCTTCTAGACTGTATTCTCCATGAGGGTGTTTTTAGGCCTCTGATGCTAATTATACAGGAGATGTGCAAGAAGTATTTGTGAGATGGAATTGAATTCAGTGTCACCAAGGAGCCTTACCAAATGCAAAGCTTTTATTGTCATTTTTAATCTTTCTGAATACTCAAATTATTTGATCCTTCCCTGTGTTCTTAAAATTATTCTTTGTTTTCAGCAACACATTGTCTGTAGATTCCCTTTCTACGTTTTTTGACAATTTCTAGTCCTTCTTGTTTGCTGACCCCTTCCCTGTCCCTTAACTTTGGACATTTCGTCCAAGATTCTATTCTTCACACTTCTACTTTTCTTCTTCACATTCATTGTCTGGAACATAAAAGCATTAAAAAATATTTGTTTCCTTCCTTCCCTCACTCCTCAGAAACTCATTTAATCTCATGGCTTCAAATATCTCCCAGATCCATGTTTTAATCAGAGTAATCCAATGGAATACTGGTCACCTGACACTTCAAATCGACTAGAAATAAATACCGTAGCACCCAACCACCCCAATTCAGTTAGTTCTTGCAATATAATCTCTGTGTTTGCCAGTTGAAACTAAGAGTCTCCTAATCACTGGGGCTCTATACATCAGGCATCTCTAGCTCCTTCATCTACTTTATGGGATGTATGTTCTTAGCCATGACAACTTAACACCATTTCCTTTGAAATGTGGCTCATGTATTGACTCCTTTTTCTCTTTTATCCTTCCACTATTCTCTCATCTCTTCACCCTTAGGTTACTATAACAGATACTATAAAAGACATCTTCCTGGTTGACCTTCCTGACCTCAATATCACCCACTTTCAAATATGTTCTGTATACTGTTGCCAGGCTAATTACTCACACACTGCTTTCGTGGCCTGGGGCTTTTCATATAGTAGATTCGATAAATATGAGAACAGCAGTTCACTCCCCCTCAAGAACTTACAGTGACTACAAATCATCTGCTAGGTCCAAATTCTTCTCTCTGACTTTTTTTCCATCCCTCTGGCCCTAACCAACTTTTTCAGCTTTCACACAATTCTCTACTATTCTACACATCCTCCTTTGGTGACTGGCTAAGCTTCTTGCGTTTCCCCAAACATAGCCTACTTCTTTCTGTTGTACTTGCTGGATCCCCTACCTTGACCAAGCCCATTACCTTGCCAGTGCTAAAAGCCTGATATTTTTCATATTGAATGAAAAAGTCGCTTTTTCTCTTGATAAAATTAATATAGCATGATAGAATTAATGCTTATTCTGTGCCCCCTTTGTTCCTTGTTTGTATTTAAAACATACATTACTTTCTTGCTGGCATCAGCAATATGCACGTCTGGACTGTAAACTCCACGAGATCAGGGACCCTTGTTCATCCTTTAATCCCTGGAAGCATCCGAACCAGTGCCTGGAATGCACATAGTATACACTGGTTAATTATTCTTGGAATTGGATTGGCCACATCTGCAAGTTCCTTATCCACCCTCTTCCCCATATCCCCACTCTTGGTTTTTATTTCTTTAATAGTCAGGCAGCTCTCTTTGAATAAAATCCAGCTGGACACACTCAGCTCTGGTGAGACTCTCCCAAGTTTCGGCAGAAGCAGCTTCTGGATGTCTGCCTAATTTCCAAGACTCATCAGGATCTGGCTCTCCAATTTATATACCCTTGCTTCTCATTTGTTTCTAAGCATGTGTCTTCCATTCCACATTATGTTAAATCCTTCAGCTCAGTCACTGTTCACACTCTTGCCCATTCCAGAAATACTCTTCCCTTATTCTGATCAAATCCTCCCCAAACTTCAGACTCAGCTTAAATCTTACTTTATCCACAATGTCATCTTTAACTGTTTGAGCCCACGTTTATCCCATGTCTGAATTCCTTTGGCAGAGATAATGTAATATCTTATGATATTCTCGAACTCCATGATGCATGTGTCTCGTTATTTTCAGCAAGAGTATTGGCTCTTCCAGGGCAGGACCATATTTTAATCTTCTTTGGTAATAGTGCTGCTGATTATTAGGTTGATAAGTCAACAGAGCTATTTTCATCCCTGTTGCTAATTTCTCCTAAGTTGAAAAAACCCTTAGAGCCCCACAGCCTACTTTTGCCTGCAAAAGAGCCACAGAACTAGGTTTGTGAGAACGCCTAAAGATCAGTCACTATGACACAAAGTAACAGATTTTTAAAAATCAACTTTTTTGACAACTAAATCAGAGTTTGTTCACAGTCTAGCTGGCTGTCATGCAAGAGGTTAAGACGCCTCGGAAAAGAGTGAATTAAAAATGGTTGATTTTTGTGGCCACTAGAGAAACGTGATTGAATAGGCCCCAACAAATTAATCATTATCTTTATCATTTTTTTAATTATGGGAGAAAAAGCCTAAGTTCTGGATGCTGAGGTTTTTCTAGGCCTAAAATCCACATGGATGGTATTTGAACTTCCACCATAGATTTAGTCCATTCATGAATTTAAGAAGTTGTTTAAAAAAAAGGCCTGACTTACTAAGCCTGCTTTGAGCCAGAGAAGTATGCTTTAGCTCCACATACAACACAAGGAAAAACTGAACAAAAGGCATAGTGTAGCTTAGGCTTTGTGTGAATTGCACTCTGTATTTTTACCATGTGCAGGGGATGGGGGTGGGAGTGAAAATAATAGCGTTTCTCCCCTTATTTCTGTATTTTAGGTTCATTTCTTATTCTAAGGAATCAGTTTCCTCTTAGGCATTTTGATATTTTTCTCACACAATGAACTGGTTAGGCTAACTGCATTTGAATTTTCCTACTATTTCTTTAAAACCACTATAATAAACTATGCTATTGACCATGTCAGAAGGCAGATGAGATCAGACACTTTATGGAGGTCTGGCTTGCTTCTTACAGTCACTTATTTTTATATTTTTTCTATTAATAAGGATAAAAAGTTACATTCTTTCTTTGGTCTCTGTTTTGTCTTTTCCAGCTGCCACAGAATGTGAACTATTCTATCATCAAAGTTCCTCTGAAAGCCTTTAACCCTTACCAGTCGCTGGTCACTGCTCTAATGGGTCACTCTACTCATTATTTTGTATGGACCGCCCATGACTACTTACAAAAGTATTCAATTAGAAATGTTCCCTCAGGGCAGCCCGGGTGGCTCAGCGGTTTAGCGCCACCTTTGGTCCAGGGCGGGATCCAGGAATCCTGGAGACCCGGAATCGAGTCCCACGTTGGGCTCCCTGCATGGAGCCTGCTTCTCCCTCTGCCTCTCTCTCTCTCTCTCTCTCTCTCTCTCTCTCTGTATCTCTAATAAACATATAAAATCTTAAAAAAAAACTATTAAAAAGAAAAAGAAATGTTCCCTCAATTTAACAAAGCTTTCTGGGTTTTTTAAAAGCACTTAGAAAAAAATGTCCATGCAGAAACTTGAATATGAATGTTCATAGTGGCATTATGCATAATAGTCAAGAAATGGAAATAACCCAAGTGTCCATCAACTGATGAATGGATAAACATGTTACATAGCCACACAATGCAACAGTACTTGGCACTGAAAAGAATGAGGTACTGACAGATGTATCTACTGTATAGATGAACCTGGAAAACACTAAGCGACAGAAGCCTGACAACACATTATTGTGGGGCACCTGGATAGCTCAGTGGTTGAGCGTCTGCCTTGGTTGTGATCCTGGGGTCCTGGGATCAAGTCCCACGTCAGGCTCCCCACAGGGAGCCTGCTTCTCCCTCTCCCTATGTCTCTGCCTCTGTCTCTGTGTATCTCAAGAATAAATAAATAAGATCCAAAAAAAACACATTATTGTATGATCCCATTTATATGAAATGTCTGGGATAGGCAAATCTATATATAAAGAAAGTAGATGTTTGCCAGGGCCAGGGGGAAGGGGTGAATAAAGGGTGATACTAATAGGTATGGGTATTCTTTTGGGGTGATGAAAATACTCAAATTAGATTGTGATGGTGATTGCACAACTCTGTGAATATACTAAGAAACTTAGAATTGTATATTTTAAATGGGTGAATTTGAATGGTATGTGAATTATGTCTCAATCTAAGAAAAACTTAGAAACCCCACTTGAGAACAAGACTAGATCCCAATTTCAAATACTGGTTTTGCATCAGAAACTCCGGAGGTAGAGAATCTGAAATCTACATTCTTTTTCTTTTCTTTTCTTCTTTCTTTCTTTTTCTCTCTCTCCTTCTCTTTCTTTCTTTCTTTCTTTCTTTCTTTCTTTCTTGGGAGAGAGACAGAGG